CTCCAGTCACTCGCTCACTCTACCCCCTCCAGTCACTCGCTCACTCTACCCCTCCAGTCACTCGCTCACTCTACCCCTCCAGTACGAGCGCGCCAAAACGTTCTCAAATGTCAACAAACTTTTCATCTCATTAATGGTCGCCATGTTGCCTTAGCTCACAGCTTTGCTTTTTTTCAGAGTAAAAGATTTATTTACTGAAAATGTGTTAGAGAGAGAGAGAGAGAGAGAGAGAGAGAGAGAGAGAGAGAGAGAGAGAGAGAGAGAGAGAGAGAGAGAGAGAGAGAGAGAGAGAGAGAGAGAGAGGGAGAGAGGGAGAGAAAGCCATGCATCTTTTGAACGTTTGAGAGGAAGAGAGGGACTGGCAATCTTGTACATAAATATATGAAACTCATCAGAGCTCCGTTGTGAGTTGGAGCTTGCCTTGACTGGGGCTAAGGTGGCGCCGAGGTTCTCGCCCTTGTGCTCTCCACACGTAAGGGTCATTATCGCCTCCCGTCCGGCCATTCATCTCTACGCTGTATTCAAGATCAGTAAATTAACTCGCCCTTGAATGCTCTATTTTCCCTGGAGTGCAATAGCTGAGATACCGAGAAGTGAAGAATTGATAAAAAGTTTGTTACCTGGTCGATCTTTGCCAGTTGTCGATGTGTTTTTTTTTCGGTGTATGTGTGTGTGTGTGTGTGTGTGTGTGTGTGTGTGTGTGTGTGTGTGTGTGTGTGTGTGTGTGTGTGTGTGTGTGTGTGTGTGTGCGCTCATGTACAGGTGTACTGTTGTATTTGCTTTTAATATGTGATTGCTTGTGTACATATATAATACATGTGTATAGGATGCGAACAAAAGCGTGCAACAAGCAATGCTCAATAACGCCACCCCCGAACACCCCCACCCCGAACACCCCCCACCCCCGAACACCCCCACCCCCGAACACCCCCACCCCCGAACACCCCCTTATTAACTCTACTTCAATTCACGAGGAAAATGCTCACAGCGCGTCTTTGTATCGTTCAAAAATAAAAGAAGAACATCATACAATTATTTAAATGTTAATATCTCGTCCTAAACTCACTCCTCAAGTTGAAGTTATGAAAACAAAACATGTGAGGGAACCACACTTATTTTATGAGACAACATGCAACCCCGCCCCAGCGAGTCCCAACACAGCCCCCCGCCCCAGCGAGTCCCAACACAGCCCCCCGCCCCAGCGAGTCCCAACACAGCCCCCGCCCCAGCGAGTCCCAACACAGCCCCCGCCCCAGCGAGTCCCAACACAGCCCCCGCCCCAGCGAGTCCCAACACGGCCCCCCGCCCCAGCGAGTCCCAACACAGCCCCCCGCCCCAGCGAGTCCCAACACAGCCCCCCGCCCCAGCGAGTCCCAACACAGCCCCCCGCCCCAACATTCCCCTCCTCCTCCTCCCCTCAACATAGTCCCCCCTTCCATGCGCCCACCTCCCCAATATTTGCTTTTCCAGTCCAGGTCCGTCTGACCCTCGGCGCGCTGCCTCCTATCAAAGTTACCTCTGTTTATTTTGGAGATGAGGGCCTCGCCTCTCACAAGGAACCGGTGGCGGTGGGGACGCCTTGCTGCTGTTGCTGCTACGGTTGCTTTTGTTGCTGCTGTTGTTGCTGCTACGGTTGCTTTTGTTGCTGCTGTTGTTGCTGCTACGGTTGCTTTTGTTGCTGCTGTTGTTGCTGCTACGGTTGCTTTTGTTGCTGCTGCTGTTGCTGCTACGGTTCCTTTTGTTGATGCTGTTGTTGCTGCTACGGTTGCTTTTGTTGATGCTGCTGTTGCTGCTACGGTTGCTTTTGTTGCTGCTGTTGTTGCTGCTACGGTTGCTTTTGTTGCTGCTGTTGTTGCTGCTACGGTTGCTTTTGTTGATGCTGCTGTTGCTGCTACGGTTGCTTTTGTTGATGCTGTTGTTGCTGCTACGGTTGCTTTTGTTGCTGCTGTTGTTGCTGCTACGGTTGCTTTTGTTGATGCTGTTGTTGCTGCTGCGGTTGCTTTTGTTGTTGCTGCTGTTGCTGCTACGGTTGCTTTTGTTGTTGCTGCTGTTGCTGCTACGGTTCCTTTTGTTGATGCTGTTGTTGCTGTTGCTGCTAGGCGTGGTGGTGCAAGTGAACGCCACTGCCGCTGCTGTTATTGCTGCTTCTCGACGTGGTGGTGGAGGGGACGCCTCTGCTGCTGCTGCTGCTGGTCGACGTGGTGGTGGAGGAGACGCCTCTGCTGCTGCTGCTGCTGGTCGACGTGGTGGTGGAGGGGACGCCTCTGCTGCTGCTGCTGCTGCTGGTCGACGTGGTGGTGGAGGAGACGCCTCTGCTGCTGCTGCTGCTGCTGCTGGTCGACGTGGTGGTGGAGGAGACGCCTCTGCTGCTGCTGCTGCTGGTCGACGTGGTGGTGGAGGAGACGCCTCTGCTGCTGCTGCTGCTGGTCGACGTGGTGGTGGAGGAGACGCCTCTGCTGCTGCTGGTCGACGTGGTGGTGGAGGGGACGCCTCTGCTGCTGCTGCTGCTGCTGCTGCTGGTCGACGTGGTGGTGGAGGAGACGCCTCTGCTGCTGCTGCTGCTGCTGGTCGACGTGGTGGTGGAGGGGACGCCTCTGCTGCTGGTCGACGTGGTGGTGGAGGAGACGCCTCTGCTGCTGCTGCTGCTGGTCGACGTGGTGGTGGAGGAGACGCCTCTGCTGCTGCTGCTGCTGCTGCTGGTCGACGTGGTGGTGGAGGAGACGCCTCTGCTGCTGCTGCTGCTGCTGGTCGACGTGGTGGTGGAGGGGACGCCTCTGCTGCTGCTGCTGCTGCTGGTCGACGTGGTGGTGGAGGAGACGCCTCTGCTGCTGCTGCTGGTCGACGTGGTGGTGGAGGAGACGCCTCTGCTGCTGCTGCTGCTGGTCGACGTGGTGGTGGAGGAGACGCCTCTGCTGCTGCTGCTGCTGCTGGTCGACGTGGTGGTGGAGGAGACGCCTCTGCTGCTGCTGGTCGACGTGGTGGTGGAGGGGACGCCTCTGCTGCTGCTGCTGCTGCTGCTGGTCGACGTGGTGGTGGAGGAGACGCCTCTGCTACTGCTGCTGCTGCTGGTCGACGTGGTGGTGGAGGGGACGCCTCTGCTGCTGGTCGACGTGGTGGTGGAGGAGACGCCTCTGCTGCTGCTGCTGCTGGTCGACGTGGTGGTGGAGGGGACGCCTCTGCTGCTGCTGGTCGACGTGGTGGTGGAGGAGACGCCTCTGCTGCTGCTGCTGGTCGACGTGGTGGTGGAGGGGACGCCTCTGCTGCTGCTGCTGCTGCTGGTCGACGTGGTGGTGGAGACGCCTCTGCTGCTGCTGCTGGTCGACGTGGTGGTGGAGGGGACGCCCTCTGCTGCTGCTGCTGCTGCTGCTGGTCGACGTGGTGGTGGAGGGGACGCCTCTGCTGCTGCTGCTGCTGCTGCTGGTCAACGTGGTGGTGGAGGAGACGCCTCTGCTGCTGCTGCTGCTGTGCTGGTCGACGTGGTGGAGGGGACGCCTCTGCTGCGCTGCTGGGGTCGACGTGGTGGTGGGGAGACGCCTCTGCTGCTACTGCTGCTGCTGGTCGACGTGGTGGTGGAGGGGACGCCTCTGCTGCTGCTGCTGCTGCTGGTCGACGTGGTGGTGGAGGGGACGCCTCTGCTGCTGCTGCTGCTGGTCGACGTGGTGGTGGAGGAGACGCCTCTGCTGCTGCTGCTGCTGGTCGACGTGGTGGTGGAGGGGACGCCTCTGCTGCTGCTGCTGCTGCTGGTCGACGTGGTGGTGGAGGAGACGCCTCTGCTGCTGCTGCTGCTGCTGGTCGACGTGGTGGTGGAGGGGACGCCTCTGCTGCTGCTGCTGGTCGACGTGGTGGTGGAGGGGACGCCTCTGCTGCTGCTGCTGCTGCTGGTCGACGTGGTGGTGGAGGATACGCCTCTGCTGCTGCTGCTGCTGCTGGTCGACGTGGTGGAGGGGACGCCTCTGCTGCTGCTGGTCGACGTGGTGGTGGAGGAGACGCCTCTGCTGCTGCTGCTGCTGCTGCTGGTCGACGTGGTGGTGGAGGGGACGCCTCTGCTGCTGCTGCTGGTCGACGTGGTGGTGGAGGAGATGCCTCTGCTGCTGCTGCTGCTGCTGGTCGACGTGGTGGAGGGGACGCCTCTGCTGCTGCTGCTGGTCGACGTGGTGGTGGAGGGGACGCCTCTGCTGTTGCTGCTGCTGGTCGACGTGGTGGTGGAGGAGACGCCTCTGCTGCTGCTGCTGCTGGTCGACGTAGTGGTGGAGGGGACGCCTCTGCTGCTGCTGCTGCTGCTGCCTGGTCGACGTGGTGGTGGAGGAGACGCCTCTGCTGCTGCTGCTGCTGCTGGTCGACGTGGTGGTGGAGGGGACGCCTCTGCTGCTGCTCCTGCTGCTGGTCGACGTGGTGGTGGAGAGGGACGCCTCTGCTGCTGCTGCTGGTCGACGTGGTGCTGGAGGGGACGCCTCTGCTGCTGCTGGTCGACGTGGTGGTGGAGGGGACGCCTCTGCTGCTGCTGGTCGACGTGGTGGTGGAGGGGACGCCTCTGCTGCTGCTGCTGCTGCTGCTGGTGGTGGTCGCGGTGGAGGGAACGTCTCTGCTGCTGCTAGTGGTGGAGGGGACGCCTCTGCTGCTGCTTCTGCTGATGGTGGTCGCAGTGGTGGAGGAGACGCCTCTGCTGCTGCTGCTATTTTTGGTCGCGGTGGCGGGAGAACATCTGAATCGTCTTGGATACAAGTACCAACGGAGCTTCGTAAAGGAAACATCAGCTGAGGGGCGAAGGTGCAGGACTGAGGACACGAGTGAGGGACACCGTCCGGACCTCTACTTGAGAGACTGTGGGCATCTGAGAGACTGTGGGGCATCTGAGAGACTGTGGGGCATCTGAGAGACTGTGGGGCATCTGAGAGACTGTGGGCATCTGAGAGACTGTGGGGCATCTGAGAGACTGTGGGCATCTGAGAGACTGTGGGCATCTGAGAGACTGTGGGCTCAGGATCTGAGAGACTGTGGGCTCAGGACCTGGGAGACTGTGGGCTCAGGACCTGGGAGACTGTGGGCTCAGGATCTGGGAGACTGGGGGGCATCTGAGAGACTGTGGGCATCTGAGAGACTGTGGGCATCTGAGAGACTGTGGGCATCTGAGAGACTGTGGGCATCTGAGAGACTGTGGGCATCTGAGAGACTGTGGGCATCTGAGAGACTGTGGTCATCTGAGAGACTGTGGGCATCTGAGAGACTGTGGGCATCTGAGAGACTGTGGGCATCTGAGAGACTGTGGGCATCTGAGAGACTGTGGGCATCTGAGAGACTGTGGGCATCTGAGAGACTGTGGGCATCTGAGAGACTGTGGGCATCTGAGAGACTGTGGGCATCTGAGAGACTGTGGGCATCTGAGAGACTGTGGGCATCTGAGAGACGTAAGGAAGGTGTGCACTCTCATAACCCCACAGTATAATAACCCCGAGTTGGGAAGGGACCAAAGATCACATTCACTCCAAAAATAAATCTACTACATACGGGTTATTCATGCCCGTGCCATCTCTTGGGTTGCTTAATCTTCATCAATCAATCAATCAAAGTTGGGAAGACATTGTTTTATTATACTGACCTTGAAACGTTTTCCGACTTTGCCCCCGCAAGATAACGTAAACATGAAAGGTTGTAAGATGTTCAATCCCTTATTTTACTCTCTGTTCACTTGAGACAGTTACAGCAAGTCCCAGCGGCGTCTGGATACACGTGACAGGATGAACAAACCCGGCAGGTTTTCTTCCTATTGCTCTGACGGTATGTGTCACTCTCAGGATGAGTGACGCTGCCCAATAAACTTACCCTTTAGGGCAAAATTAAACAAAAACTTAGGTAACCTAGAGTTGGGTTAATGTTCAGGGTAGCGAACCGGTCGGCCGAGCGGACAGCACGCGGGACTTGTGATCCTGTGGTCCTGGGTTCGATCCCAGGCGCCGGCGAGAAACAATGGGCAGAGTTTCTTTCACCCTATGCCCCTTTTACCTAGCAGTAAAATAGGTACTTGGGTGTTAGTCAGCTGTCACGGGCTGCTTCCTGGGGGTGGAGGCCTGGTCGAGGACCGGGCCGCGGGGACACACAAAAAAAGCCCCTAAATCATCTCAAGATAACCTCAAGATAATCTCAAGATAGCGGACTCGTGAAGGGTGCAAGTTTGACCTCGAGGAGACCTCAGTATAAGCCGAAATACACAGTCTTGTTGTCCCCAATACCGGGAATAATCTGCTGTAGCGCAGTGCATTCCTCAGATTTTATTTTCCCAGCAGAAGGTTAAGTCTTTCCTGTCTCGGTCTTCTGATTCGTGTTGACCTAACCAAACACTAGAAAGTGAAGGGACGACGACATTTCGGTCCGTCCTGGAACATTCTCAAGTCGATTGTGAACCGTTATCGTCGATTCAGCCACGTTATTGTGACTCCTCGTCTGCATTCTGATTCGTACTGAAGGCGTTGTCAAGTACTTTATATTTTGCTTGGCTGGTAATGTTCACGAGATCCTTGATTTCTGTTTATTTGCGGATGAGAGGACAGGTGTTGCGGTGTTGGTGGTGGATGGGAGACGTGTATAGGAGAAGCGATGGGAGAGGGGTCTAGACGGAATGGGAGAAGCGATGGGAGAGGAGGTGGGAGAGGAGGTGGGAGATTGATGTAGGCATCCCAAGGTTAACATTTACTAACCTCTAAACTTACATAATATTACGGGTGCCAAGTGGAAAAACTTTTAAGAACAGAATATAATTGGCAAATAGGGTTTTCATAACTCAAACAATGCGGGGTTTACGATGCTACTGATACTTCCAATGTCTATTAGATTGTCATAATCTATCAGGAAGTAGTCAAGGCGGTGTCTGTCATTCTCATCACAGATTATACAGCTCCGCTGCTCAGCTGTTTCGATCCCGAATCTCCATATATATCTGTATCTCGCTGTTGCCGATAATATAGGATAAAAACCTACACTTGTGTATTTGTGAAATTTATGTAAGGAATTTATACCAAATTTTTCGCACTCTTCTGAGTGCTTTGTCAAGATATGAGTGTGTGATTAAGACGAGACTTACATCTCAACGTCTAATCAGTAGCCGTTGAGATTTAGGTCTCATCCTAATCACTCAGACCTTGACAAAGCACTCAGGAGAGTGCGAAAGAAATGGTATAAATTCCTTATATAAATTTCACAAATACGCAAATGTTGATTTTTATCCCATGTTATTATGTCTGTGAGATGACATTACCATTATTAATTACCGACAATAGCGAGAATTCATCTTGGCCCACCTCACCTTCGACCTTAAGGGAGCCGGTCGGCCGAGCGGACAGCACGCTGGACTTGTGATCCTGTGGTCCTGGGTTCGATCCCAGGCGCCGGCGAGAAACAATGGGCAGAGTTTCTTTCACCCTATGCCCGCCCCTGTTACCTAGCAGTAAATAGGTACCTGGGTGTTAGTCAGCTGTCACGGGCTGCTTCCTGGGGGTGGAGGCCTGGTCGAGGACCGGGCCGCGGGGACACTAAAGCCCCAAAATCATCTCAAGATAACCTCAAGATTAATGATTATAGCATCACCAGCTATCACCACATTAACCATACTACTTGTGTAAAGGAGGAAATGTATATGTTTATCTCTCAGAATGTTCGGTAATATGTTTATTGCTTGTGATGTGTGTCTATGTATGTATTAACACGATGTACTGAACGGGGTGAGAATAGCTTGAGCTACCTCATCCCTTTGTGTGTATTTTACCTCAATAAACTTATTTCACTTTCAATTTCAATTACCACATTGCACCAGCACAGAGACTGATTTGTTCTTTTATAACTCCTTTCCTCATGGGGGGCATGACGTGATCAATACGCCCTCCTTCAGCGCTCTCGCCAGCCAGCCCATTTACGGGCTATTCATGTCCGTGCCACATTTAGAGTGGATAAGCTTTATCAATCAATCAATCAGCTCATCCGCTCGATCATTCCCCCCAGATTCCAGCGTGGGACGGGGACGGGGGGGGGGGGGGGGGGGAGATCACCCTCCCTTCCTTCCCTCCCTACAAGAACTTCATCACCTTTTCCATGATTGGTTTAGGAATTTTAAGTTCTCGTGATTCCAGCGACTGTCCCTCCGTTTTCTACAAGCTTTTTTTTCTTGACATTGTAATGCAGCTTTTAAGCAACTGCATCCCCCCTCCCCTCTTTGTTTTCTAATATCTTAATAGCATAGGTGAATAGAGAAGCATCAGGTTAAAGCAAACGTTCCTAAAGGCTTCTGTCCCGTCTCAGGGGATCGAACCTGGCATCATCGATTGAGAACCCACCATGTAGATCTCTGAACCTCAGGACCCAAATGACACTAGTAAAGATAAGGACAACACCAGAGATCACACGGATAACACAGAGGGAGGATAACGTAGAGGGAGGATAACGTAGAGGGAGGAAAACGTAGAGGGAGGATAACGTAGAGGGAGGATAACGTAGAGGGAGGATAACGTAGAGGGAGGATAACGTAGAGGGAGGATAACGTAGAGAAGGGACTGACCGGGAGACGAGGGCGATACCGGGCGCACTAAAAGGATCAAAACGTTTGCAAGAACCAACCATCGCGGGACCTGCTGCCTGAGAACGTTCAGGCAGCTGGGGGAGGCGGGGAGCTCGGGGGAGGGGGGGAAGGGGGGGGAGGGGAATCTCGGGGAAGAGGGGAGGAAGAGCTGTTGGAGGGGGTTTGGGGAGGCCAAATCGTACAACATACCTACAGAGTTGGATGTATAACAGGGGGGACAAAACCCCCGCCATATTACAATGGAGCTGCAGTGTATTTCGCTGAAGACGGAGATCATACCATACGCCCGAGACAGTCGACGCCGAGGTCATCGTGCTGCAGGAGACGCTCTGATGACTTCGACTCCGAGGTCCAGCTGCTCTCGCAAGCGTTCCCCTTCCCAGGGCGAAGGTAGACTGTCCCTCATTGCATAACAATATATCTACTGAGGCAGATGATAATGATCTCCGCGCGTGGGGGTGATGGGGAAGGAGGGGAGGGGGGGGGATGAGCGTGAATCACTAGAGGGTAACCCTTGACTTGAACAACAACTCATTACATATAATCAGTCTGCATGTGTCGCAGAATAAACTTGATCTTGACACATGACCTGAATGGTCATGCGTCGAGGTTAAATGATGGTCAACCAGCGCGCCCCCCGAGGCGGGAGATGCACTCCGTGTTGAATGTACACTGAGGGACGTCGGTACACACATACTGTACACTTAGGGACGCCGGTACACACACTGTACACTTAGGGACGCCGGTACACACACTGTACACTTAGGGACGCCGGTACACACACTGTACACTGAGGAACACCGGTACACACATACTGTACACTTAGGGACGCCGGTACACACACTGTACACTGAGGGACGGCGGTACACACACACTGTACACTGAGGGACGGCGGTACACACACACACTGTACACTGAGGGACGGAGGTACACACACACTGTACACTGAGGGACGCCGGTACACACACACTGTACACTTAGGGACGCCGGTACACACATACTGTACACTTAGGGACGCCGGTACACACATACTGTACACTTAGGGACGCCGGTACACACACTGTACACTGAGGAACACCGGTACACACACTGTACACTTAGGGACGCCGGTACACACACTGTACACTGAGGGACGCCGGTACACACACTGTACACTGAGGAACACCGGTACACACACTGTACACTGAGGAACACCGGTACACACACACTGTACACTGAGGGACGCCGGTACACACACACTGTACACTGAGGGACGGCGGTACACACACACTGTACACTGACGCCGGTACACACACACTGTACACGGCCGGGTGAGGGACACACACACTGTACACTGAGGGACGGCGGTACACACACACTGTACACTGAGGGACGGCGGTACACACACACTGTACACTGAGGGACGCCGGTACACACACACTGTACACTGAGGGACGGCGGTACACACACTCTACACTGAGGGACGGCGGTACACACACTGTACACTGAGGGACGGCGGTACACACACTGTACACGGTCCATGTACTGCTGCTGGTCGTCCTTGACAACCGTATACGAAAGAGAAGTGAGAATGCAAGAATAATCTGGTCTTGGAAGCTAATATGAGACTTGACTTTATAAACAAAATGAGTGACTCGTTCACTGAATACCAAATCTCATAAGATATATAAAAAAATGTTGAGAACATCAGTAATTAAATTATGTGGTGTTTCAGAGCCTCGCGTCTGATGGCTCGAGACTGCAACCCTCAAGAGAAAAAGAAAGCGAAATGGAATGAACCTCATTACATAAAATTACTCAATAAATCAAGTTATTTAAAACTGTGCGTCAAGT